TTATCATTCTTTGTTAAAATTAACAGAATCGCATAATTTCACATTTTTGGGCTCAGTTTGCATAGTTTCAGAATTGTTCTTGCATAAATCGACGGGGACAGTCAGGAGTCTCCCTCCTCCACAACTTTTGATTTTCTCCAGAAACCCCTATATGTTCTACTTTTGAAGTTTTTCCAGAATTCCCCCTCCTCAAGTTTTGAACAATCTGTCGAAACCGAAAATACAGCTTTACCAAAGCTAATTCAGCTGTCCCGCAAATTTCGGTTTGATCAGACTCCATTGTATTTTATTTTTCAAAAGCTTGTGGCAGCATGAAAGCACATCATCAATTTCTTCCAATGAAGCAGGGATGCCACTTTTCCGCTTTTTTTCCGGTATTTCTTGTATTTTGATCCCAATCCACTATTCCGTTATTGAGATCGAGATAGAGTCTATAGTTTCGAAAAATTAAACAAAAATAACCCACACAACACTTTCTGTGTACTCCCATTGTTTTCGTTTGTTTGTCATTTCTGTCTATGTCCACCCTTTTGGTTTCAAATTGGTATTAAAATATTATGTTAGCGAGACAGTGGCGTGTGGATTTTCAGCTATTTTAAAAAAAGCTGAGGAGTGGCATCCCTGATGAAGGATTAATAATAGATAAATTTTCTCATCTTTGCTCAAACTGATGGGTACAATGTTCGCAGCACACAATGAGTTTGAAACTGTTGAGGTTGTGATAAAATGTACAGAGATGATTTGTGCCCTTGAGAATAAATGTGATCTATCGATCTCCACTTTGAACTTGAGTCAAAATTATTGACTTAGCTCTGCACTGCCATGGAATAATGCTTTGTCACACACATTTTTTGCTTAAAATTTTTGACGATTTACTTTTTAAAACTTGTTATCGTTTGAGTCATGATGTGCTGGAATCAGGTGCTCATAAATTGTTGGACTGGCAGAGCTATTGGCATCTTTGTAAAGCATGTTTATTAATTGTCTATGTTAAGTGAAAAAAAAAAAAATCCATTTTTCTTGAATAGTAGTCGGAGATATTTGTCATTGAAGGAGATGGGGGTCGCCTTGTGTAAGAGGTAAAATTAATAAGAAAATGGCCGCCAAAGTTTGGTGATTTCCATAGCTATAGAGAGTCCTTAGATACAGAAAATGAAAATAAATTTTTTTGTGCTTTATGTCAATGATTTTCAGTAAAATCCACACAGAAATATGTTTTTATATGGACAGAAAAGGCGTCGAGCCAAAAACAGAAAATTTGATAGAAATTGCCGAACCGATGGGGAAAAAATGCAGGGTTTTTTAAAAATTTGTTGAAATTTTCTTATTTTTGACGAGCGCCTGATTTCACCACAATGGCTCACATTTACTTTTTCATCCTCTGCTGCCGTTGAGTGCCAAGGGGAGATGCAACATTTTTCTCAGCACCTTTTAGTACTCAGTTCAGTGGGGTTCAAGTCAGTCTCACTGATGTTTTCACAGGGTCCTTTTGGGGGGTTTTTCAGTAAAAAAATTTTGGCACTTGCAAACAAATCATGTAAGTGGAGAAAATCCTTTAGGGGTCTATAAATGACTGTGGGTCGGACAGTTATGCATTATATATATATATATAGATCTATATAAGATGATATGCCAGTGTAAGCATTGTGATACTGAGTATGTATGTTATGCCTTTGCTTCCTGTAAATGTTATCATGTATTCACATGTGAATTC